GAGGGCACTTTAAGCAATGAAAACATGCATCTTCAAGAGAAACCTGAACATGGTGTTTCCAGCATGGGCTGGGGGAACAGTACTCAGACCCACGAATGGGCATGGTTGGTGATCGCTCTGATCACAAAGTGCAATAATGTATCACATACAAGGAAGACCACTTTACAAAATTTCATGAATACTCATAACCACCAGTGTAATGGAATCCATAGTCCTCATTTTAGAGACTGGGGTGAATTGAGACCCAGAGAGATTTAGGGCTTGTTCAAGACCACACAAATATATACTTATATATTGACTATGTAGGATTTTTTTAAAACTCTACTTGATTCTTTTTTTTTTTTTTTTTAAGATTTATTTATTTATTTGAGAGAGAGATAGAGTGCAGAGGGTTGGGGCAGAGGGAGAGGGAGAGGGAGAGAGAAACCCAGGCAGATTCTGCGCTGTGCTCGATCCCATGACCCCGCATTCACAGCCTGAGCCAAAACCAAGAGTTGGGCGCTCAACTGACTGTGCCACCCAGGCGTGCCATAACTCTTACTTGATTCTTAAGAAGGATATTGACAGAGGAAAAACCCACTATTAGAAGTTCTGCAGGGCAATTGCAGTCTTCCTCATAAATTGCTAAACTGATTTTGTAATATATGTGCTGCCAAAGCGAGCACTAAACTGACTTTTTAATACAAATAGGTGATCCTGGGCACATCTGGCATCTCTCCAAGGGCCTATGCACCCCTGGAATGACCAATCCTAACCCTGAACAAGCCACAGGGGAAACGTGAGCATGGAAATTCAACTAGGGAAGAGAGGGATGGATGTGGATAAAGGCAGCGTTAGGAAGGAGATGAACAAGAGGAGCACAGGTTGGGGAGGAATACAGAAGGGGAAAAAAAGACAGGTCTTAAAGAGTGGGAAAGCACAAAATCAAGAAATCAATTTTCTATAGATTGCTTCATATACATATAAATATATATGTGTATATGTATATACACACACATATATATGTATATTTTAAGCAAAGTAAAAACATTTAGAAGAGTTGCTTTGTGGGAGAATGAGACAATTAGCAGACCAGACCAACTGTGCCCCATTCAGCATTCCCAGGGACATGGAGTCCCATCACTTTATGGAGGTACCCTTTGTGACAGGGCCCTGATTACAATTCAACTTCAAATTTCACAAGGCATTTCAATATATTCTCAGTCTGGTGATGCCCAAAGAAGTCCTTAAAAAGTGGAATTTAAATGTAAAAGAAATTCCTTAAGAATAAATTAATATGACAGTATGCCAAGCATTGCAACCATCCCAGACTTCCAGGGGAAGGAACCCCCCCCCCCCACACACACACATGGGTCATTTGGCTTGGTGCAGTTCCATAAAACCAATAAATGGCTTCTGCACACCCTTGCCATCACAGGTCATTCTAACGTGAGAAAGTTTCAGGGCTTAGAAGACTAAATCCAAAAGTAAAGAGGTTCTGGCTAGATTCAGAGTTCTGACTCATCGCACATGTTTCTGAAATGCAAATTATATATTTGACAGTTTATATTATTAACAGTTATGAGGCATTTTTTAAAGCATGGAAATTACATTAAGTATAAAATCATCATAAAAATTGTTGCATTCAGCCATTGGTCCAGTATCTGTTGAAGTGAACATACTATATTTATTACTTGGAAAAAGAAACTATTCAAATATAGTTCCAAGATAAATTTTTAAAAAGCCACTAATAAAAGCTGAGCTCATGGCCAGTCTGGATGCTGAAGTTAAGCCATTTTAGAAGAGAAGGAAGTCTGGCTTTTCAACATGCTACAACTTCATGATTAAATTTCAATGTTTTTTGAGAAAAATTTTAAGTTTTAGACTGATATTACAAGTTAGAGAAACAACTTAAACAATTTTAAAAAATGACATAGATGTCACTCAGAAAAAAATTTCCCCCCTCACAATAGGCCGTGAAATTTCCGAGGGACAGCTAAGAAACTTCAGGATTCACTTCTTGTGGCAAAAGAACTTTATGGCCATAAAACCATCTTGACAACCTTCCACAAAGCTCAGATGCTCAGCTTACACCTTAAGGACTGAAAAAAAAAATACACATGTAATTCTTATCCTTCAATTTTAGAACAAGGGAAGATCTTAAGAGATCATCTGGTTCAAAATTTCCCCAAGTGGATTTCATGAAACATTATTTTCCTAAATAATTTTCTGAATAGTGGTGGGGTGATCCAGATGAGTTTGGGAACATTCCTGGAGAGTCATAATACGTGTGAGGTTATTAGTGAAACTCAGAAGCCCAAAGAAAAGAAATAGGTAAGTTAAAAAAACAAAACAAAACTATTTTTTACCAAACCTATTTGAGCACGGGGCCCTTTCTGCAGCAAGTAATTATAATGAAAATCTTGTAAAATTACTGTCTAATAGAAAGCCCCTTCTCTGTGAAGAACCTGAAGCCCAGACAGGCTAGGGGATTGTCCCAAAATGATACAATTCGTTGGTGAATAAACTAAAAACAGATCTCCCTTTCAAGACCCAACTTTGGTGCTGTTTCTAGTACCGTGTTCTCTCTCTCGTACAATGCCTACACTCCCTGAAGGATCACAGACTATAACAAGAACCACATCTTGGAGATCATCTCTCCAAAGCCCTCTTGTTAAAGATGGGGAAATACAGTCTCAGAGAAGTGAAGCAATTTGCCCAAAGTGACCCATGAAATCAATTCCTGTAGTAGAACTGGAAGCTAGCTCTTAATTCCAACACCAGACACCTTTCCACAGCAGCATACTAGCCCCTGCAACATCAACACTTTTTGCCTCTGAGGAAAAGGCAAACCCCTCACAGACAAGAGGGGCTTTAGCTATTCAGGACCCAGTAAAAAATATTTATTAAACCATACTTGTGGCAAGAGATATTTTAAATCAATTAAACATGATTGTCTTTACTTACAAATGTCATCAACTGTGACAGGGAATCAATGTTTCAAGCTCTTGAACAGGTCATCATCCCTGTCCTGTTGGATGACACCTATAAATAAAATAAATCTATTTTTGAGTGAGTAGATTTTAAGCCAACTAGATTTAAGATGCATGCAGTTTAAAGCAAAGAGTAATTTTTAAAGTGATTCTTAATCATGTACTGCTGGAGAGAACTAGTTTCCAATGCCAGCTATTTCACTCTATGTGGCTATCACTGGTCATCAGCACAAGACAATGCAGGTGATGTAACACGTAATGTTGCCAGAATACATGGGCAATCATGGATCCTAGAGCTAAAAGGATCCTCTAGGCATTATCTACCTCAGTGTCTTTCCTTTGTGAATACTATTTTCTCTTTGTAGGAGGGACAACCAAGACCCTATGAGGTTAAATGACTAGCCCAGTGGGAAAGAGCTAAGTGTCTTTAGCTGAAGTTTCTTGATGTTGAAAAGTATATCCAGAACACATTAGCAAAGGTTATCATTAGGTTGATCAACTCTAAAAAACCTACTGCACACACTGTAAAAATATTTCACAAATGCTGACTTAGAATATCCTATCATAGCTGCATAAAATATATTTTCAATATTAGAGATATTTAAATACAAGCATTACTGAAAAATGCCATGAATGGAAAATAACCAAAAGTGAGAGAATGGGAATTAGAGAGTGAAAAGAACAATATTAAATATAGCATGCTTTTAGGATTCTAAATTCTGGTTACTTCCAAAAAAGATCTGGGTTCCTAACAAATATATGAAAACCATTTTCTACAATCTATAAAATTTCAAATCTTGGTTTCTCTGTAGCCACAAAGTACCATTTGAGTTAGATTTGCCAAAAACTAAAATTTAGGCTAAACAGTGAACATTTTAGATTTCCATTCTGTACCTAAATACTTTAAGACAATTGGAAGTATTTTAGGATACCATCTTGAGGTAATATGGCTGTTAAAATAACATTATCACCAAACTCAAGTGCTTACTATGTGCCAACCACTGTTTGATTATTTTACACATACTATCTCCTTCAATCAATTCTCACAACAACTTGATTATTAATATAATTTTGCAAATAAGAACATCAAAGCACAGAGAAATTAAGTGACATGAAGTAAGTTCACACAACAGGTAAAATGGCAGAATTTGCACACAAATCTGTCTGATGACACACTCCAAGCTCAAATCACTATGTAATACTGCATTTCTTTAACATGGCAACTGGAAAGTCTCAAAAATATAAGAATGGATCAGGACAATTCCAATTAGAATACATAAAATTCTCCCACCTACATCCCACACAATATAAAACATCAGGAAATTCACTCTTTTTCTTGGGGATAAGGAGGCAGCTATGGACAATTTTCAGAATGAAATAATATTAACGCCAAGGAATTGAAACTTCTAATGTTAACTTTAAATATATTACAAGATATGCCAAATGAAAAACTTAAATTGTCTTTTATAATTAAAATAAATCTCTCTGATTCAATTACTTCTTAAGAGTCCATAAGGAGATAAACGCTGTTACTCAGGACTGACTGATTCTCTAAAGAGTGTAACTGTTATTGATAGACTGAATTTAATCCTATGTATTTTAAAGTATGGATATATTATCATTTTGCTAAAGAACAGAACTATTTATAAAGAACGAAAAAGTAGTCTTGATAGATTATGCGACCTCCTCAACTTCTCATGTAATACAGCTATCTTTTCTTGACCGCAGTTATGTTTCTGACCCAAAATCCTGAACTTTTTTTTTTTTTTAATTAGGGGACATTTTTTTTCAACATAGTTTTGAAGCCATGAAACTGATGAAATAGGAAATAATATGGAACACAAACATATACCTGACATAACTGAACAAGAATTAGATATATGCAAAGCTCAGCACCACCGAAACCAGACATCAGGGAAAATGCACGTCTTTTTCAAAGCTCTGTGGAGCCACCCTCTTCTGAAGTCATGGCTCTTTCATACGGACCCCGAACGGAAGAAGATCAAGTGTGGTTTCATGGTAGCTTACCCTTTTCTCTGACACCCCATCCTGGCCTGTAGAATCTCTCTCATCATGTGTCTCTTTCAGGACTGGCATATGTTTTTGGTATGCTGGCTCTCTGTTTAAGGTTGTGTATCCTATGTGCTCATAAATTGGGTTTATCGTCATCTTGGCAATGTATTCTGCTGCCTTGGTTTCAATATAGAGAGTAATCAATCCATCAGTCACCAGATCGTGGATGGACTCAAAGCGCTTCTCCCCAACGAAGTGCTTTCCATCGTAGTACAGCCTGAAGTTTCTGGTTTGACTTCCAAATCTGCCTCAATGAAATGGGAAAGATGTTTTTAAGAAAAGCAAGCAAGTAAATTCTTTCTGAAAAAAAAAAAAAAAAAAAGAACAAAAAAACCTTTTGCTTTGTTTGTGTGTGTCTTCTTTGTTAAATAAACTGTGGCTAATCTCTATGAATCGTCTGGAATATAGAAAATAAAACTTTTGAACACAAAGAATGAACTTGCAACAACTAGGGATAACTAGCCAGATGCATGTCTCCTCTAGAAGGAAAAAAATGTTCTTGTTTATCTTTTTAAACCACTTCATTATCCTGTAGGAAAAATGAGGAAAAATAAAGCTCATATCCTATTAGAACACATTCTATATTCAATTGGTCAATTCTATCATAGATGAAATTTCTATATTAACATGTTCTCTTCAAGTTGATCAATAAAAATATTCAACATACTACAGACTCCAGCGTTCATGTCTTTTAATGGGAAAGCTCCATTTAGGGCTCACCTAAGTATGATGCCAGTAATCATTTAAAGTAGAGCTGATTCCAGAACCTGAGCCATACAAGCAGGACAGGAGGGCAACAGAAACATAGTTTTGTGATTTCTAGCCACGGGTCAATGACTTGCTCTTCCCTATTACATAATCATTTTTCTGTGTCTCCTTGTTGAGTCTAAGCAAGAAATACCTGCAATATATATATATATATGGCATAGAAGTCATAAACTATTGGACTCTAGAGATTCTGTTCTCACTTTTGGGTCATGTTTTGGAAACATACTTTAAAAATTGGAGAATAATGGTTTAGTTTTATGATAATTTCAGTATTTTGCTTCCTGACTTTATGAAAGCTGATGTCACAGGGCACCAAGAACCACAATCATGGTCTCTTAAAGGCAGTCCCAAGTGAGCCTAATTAAAAACTAAACAAATCAGAAACAGTATATTTAATTTAATTGTTTAAAACACACAGAACAACAACAAAAACAGAACAGAGGTGAACTAAAATACTAAAATAATACCCTGTTTAATACTAAAATAAAGTGTTTAATTAGGACCACAAATGTATGCAACAATATTATTCTAGTATAGGTTATATTCCAGAAGGACAGGACTTAAGATTCTACTTTTAATATATCCTTAAAAAAAGAAAAATTTTTTTATAATGGTTTGAGAGTATCTCTGTTTCTGTGGTTCAAACTGAACTTTAGTAATTATTTAATCTAGAACCCAACATTCTATCTATGATGGTCCTTCTACTAAAATAAAATTTATCCACCTTTTGGTTCTTTAAAAGCAATTATATTTTGATTTAGATTTATACTCAAGTAAATGATCCATATAATTCCAATTTCCCATTCTCCATTTTCCTGTAATGTTACATATTTCTCCTGAGTAAATTTTAAGTCTGAAAAATTGGAAGGTAAAACTTCTACACCAAAATTAAATATAAAAGTTTTTTTCAGTTTAATATACTGTTTTTATAACATATTATCAGGTTTTGGGAAATAAACATGGAAAGCCACTTTATAATTTTTATAAGATTCTTAACAACAATAATCACTCATAACACTGTTTAACATGAAGTCCTTTTATATTTCAATTGTATTCAGAGGCATTTCAATGAAAGATTAGACCATTTTACTCCTAAGGGGTTTATGATTTTACAGTGCATATGACACTTAAACTAAAGACTATCCAGGGCACCTGGGTGGCTCAGTCATTAAGCATCCGCTTTCGGCTCAGGTCATGATCCCAGGGTCCTGGGATCGAGCCCCACATCAGGATCCCTGCTCGGCGGGAAGCCTGCTTCTCCCTCTCCCACTCCCCCTGCTTGTGTTCCCTCTCTCACTGTATCTCTCTGTGTCAAATAAATTTAAAAAATCTTAAAAAATAAAAATAAAATAAAGACTATCCAAGCAGTGGTGGCAGGAATTTGTCACTCGAATTTCTTCTAAAATCTGAGCAGTATGGGAATGTCGGGCTGGAGGGAAGATGGCTGGCTTGGCCTCAGTTAGATTGAAAGAGCAGAGAAATCTAGGGTGCTTCACAATGGGCCTATTCCTAATCCAGCCAAGGAAAGTATTTCCTGGCTACCTCTAGGTACTGGGCAAAAGAGACTAAGGAAATTTGTCCTTTCCTCTTATCATAGCAACTTTAAGAGACCCTACAAACAATTCCCAATTCCTCCTCAGTCTGCACTTCAGCTTTAGACTTCCAGTCCAATCAAACTTCAAGTCTTAAGCAAGGTGATCAGATAACGAAAATAACTCATAATATGGGTTGATTTAAAACTTAACCTCAAAGGACAAGAAAACGAATTTCCATTTTGGAATTATGATTGATTTTTTAAGAAAGCTGCATTATTTTTACTTACAGGAACTGTACGCTTTCTTTGCCTACCCTGTACTGCCCTCTCTTTACTTTGGAAGTTACATAAAGAACAGCATCACAGCATAGACCGACAGAGTCTTCGTCTCTTCTGTGATTTGAAAGGCATGATAGAAAAATCTTTGAGGAGGATGAGGAATGGATGTGTCTCTTCTACAAAAAAAAGAGCCATAAAAGGAGAGATGCCAAATCTAAGAGCAAAGAAAGAATCCTTCCTTGTAAAAGTTTACCTCTTACAGACTGTCATTTATGCAACATTTAACAACACACCCAGGAACCCTGTTAAATATTAGGTGCTTCATAATAAAGTTCCTGTTCCCTTGATTACCTCAATAGGAAACAGATATACATAAAAGCAAGTCAATACAAACACAAGATGAAACGCTGAATTTTATTTATTTTTAAAAGTCTGTTTTGGGGTGCCTGGGTGGCTCAGTCGTTAAGCATCTGCTTTCAGCTCAGGTCATAATCCCAGAGTCCTGGGATCGAGCCCCGCATCGGGCTCGCTGCTTAGCAGGAAGCCTGCTTCTCCCTCTCCCACTACCCCCTGCTTGTGTTCCCTCTCTCACTGTGTCTCTGTCAAATAAGTAAACAAAATCTTTTTTAAAAAAGTCTGTTTTAGTATTTTTTTAAAGTAAACTTTACCCCCAACATGGGGCTTAAACTCATGACCCCAAGTTCAAAGTTACATGTTCTACCAACTGAGCCAGCCAGGTGCCCCCAAATGCCGAATTTTAAAGAGTTCATCTTTAGTTTCATTCCTAAAAAATGATTATAAAAATGCATATAGCCTTGGTCTTATATGGAAAAGTTACATTTCTGTGCAGTGATTCATGAAAGCAAGTGAATCCAATGTCTCTCTCACACTATGAAAACGAAGGAACTCACTGCTTAGTAAGGTCTCAGAGCTATACTGCTTATGTCCAAATGCAAAAGCACCATTGGATCTTGAATTAGAGTTTGACCAGCGAAAGGCAACTGTGGGGTCCTGTGTTTTTAATAGAAAACCTTAGGCTTTCAGTCTACGGCCATACCACCCTGAACGCGCCCAATCTCGTCTGATCTCGGAAGCTAAGCAGGGTCGGGCCTGGTTAGTACTTGGATGGGAAAACCTTAGGCTTTCGGATCAGACAAAATAAGTTTAAATCCTGGGACTACCACTTTTTAGCTGAGTGATTTGAGAAAATCATTCTTCAGATTCTGCATCTAGAGAACAGGAATAACGTCACTTCTCTCCAGAAGGTTGTGAGGATTTCATAAGCATATTTAAGTCAAAGCTAAGTACATAATAGGTTCAGGGAATGGTAGTTCCCTTTCTCCTTCTCTGTTAGGTAGGCTTCTGCAGAGAATGACAGAACATGTATCAAACAATGAAGTAAAACAGAAAAGAGAATAACTATGCACCGAAGGGGGCTGGATGAAGGACTGCTAATACAAATAACTTGTTCGGGCCCATCTCTGAACTGGCTGCTTCTACAGTCAACACAAGGCAAGGACAAGCGTTCTGTGAATTTCTTTCATGTCCCTGAATAAGTTTATAGCACCTGATTGAACAGAGTGGAATCACAGCAGAATGCAAAGAGGGGAGGAAGGGAGAAGAAATGAGTCTTTGCACTACGGCCTGTGAGTCAGGTCTCTGAATTCAAAGACAGTAGTCAGACCGAAGGCAGGACATGTGAAATGGATCTGGTGACACCAGCTGAACTCCACAGTATGGAGAACTGACTTGTAAAAACTGTTAAAGCTAAACCATTTTCCTCCATTTTTATAGGAAAATCTTTCTTTTCCTCTTTTCTTATATTACCTGCATCTGCCCTTGCTTTTTTATAGTTGTTCCCTCTTTGGTGAACATATTTGAGGCTGTACAGGACCAACTCTCACCTAGTTAGAGTTCAACAAAATTCATGTCTCCAAAGTGGTACTGTGGTTAACAAATAGAAGAGAGACTGGGATAATGTGCTTTGAACTGCTACTGTTGTAGTACATAATTACCACTTTCTAGAAATGTCTTTTTCTCCAGTGATTTCAGGTTTGGGTTTTCATGTTTTAAAAAGCTGTTTAATGCTGTGCCCAGTTGCATTCAGATGGATTTCAAAATATGTAATTCTAACATCTAGCTTTAAACAGTGAACAAAACCCTTAATACCATCCTTTCTATTTTTTATAAGTAAACTGTACTCAAAAAATTCAGTCTAGAGGTACAAAGTGATGAAAATATGTACCAGGAATAGCCTTTGGGATTCTACTTTACTTCTTCTAAAACCAAGAATTAGTTCTGATTTGAAGTCAAAGTATTTGAAAATATCTCTTCAAAGGAAAGCTCCAAGCTAACAGATGTTTTCTCTTAACAAAGAAACATATACAACGCACTTGTCTAAGTTAACAATAAAATGTTAGAACTATTTCCAGAAACCAAAATGCAAGAACAATTTTATTTGTCATAAATACGTATTTGTGTATTGTTTACCAAAGTTAGAGAAGCTAATCAAATGATGAAATACAAGAATCTCATAAATTTAATCATATATACACCCTTCAAAGAAAGGTTAAAACAGGGACAAGAATATGATGAGGCATTGAGTTAAATACTAAAAAATGAAAGGCTGAGGAAGAGAGAGCATAGCTATATACAATTTAAAA